GTTCCCCACCATTTAACTATGTGTATCCTCATGCAGCGCAACATGTCTGAGAGTGCGACAGAAAATGGCAGTTGTTGACAGAATCAGATTGACAGCATCTACTTCCAATGGCATGATAGATAGGAGATGTAAGGTTTCCTAGCAACATCCAATCCGCTGGGTCCATCTAAATGATTGAAGTCAACTGTGGTGGAGAGGGGGGGGGTATTGGAATTTTTTAATGATGTACTTAATGTGAAAGTGTGTTATGTAATACTGCTGTAATGTTCAATGTGCAGGGTCCTCTCACTCTCTCACCCTCCCTGTCATTTCTGTACCGTAGTGTTGAAGAAGGCGTAGAAAGCCACCAGATATCATTTACACCTAAGTCACCCCTTGTTAGCCTGACAGACGGGAAGTGATGTCAAAATGACACCATAGTGCATTTGAAGTGAAACACAATCAGTGGCATTGGAAAACCATGATTGTAGTATGGATCCACGCTATTTCACACACACACACACACACACAACACACCCACTACACACACACACACACACACACACACACACACACACACACACACACAAATGGAAACTAGCGAGGGACAGGAGGGGAGAGCCTGCACGATATTGACAGACTGGAACAATTGTGCAACAAAGTCCATGTCCAAGAGAACATATATGGTGCAACTACAATCACATATGTAACGATGAACTGTGCATTTCAGCACATTTAAACTGCCAGGGCTGCTTGTTAGTGATGTCAAATGTCGAATCTGAGTCTGAGTAAACGGACTACACATTATTCCTGCCCCCAAGAGTCAGCTTACCATAAATATCAGTCAAATCCCTACAATCGCATACTGTACATACAGCTGCTTCGTTCCTGCATGTGTGTATTTATCTTAATGCATGCACTTCGAATTGCCCTTGAGTTCCAAAGCTACCATTTACTTGAGGCCCCCAGCAGGTGTTTCAGTTTTTATGGTCTTGAGCTAAAATGATGTCCATAGACCATAGATTACAGATATGGTCAGCAGATGAACCTACACGTTTCCAGAGCTTCACTGTTTGGTAACAGAATAAATGGCTGGTCAGATCATGATTTATAGACAGGACAACAGTTTAAGGGTCTGCACATCACTGACTGTTTTAATCTTTCAAGTCATTTTATGTGATTTAATGTTTCTTGTGATGGTTAAACCCAGACAAGAATAATCTGCCTCAAGAGTCAACCATGGGATTCAATTTAAAATTCAACATCCGCATCTGCAGTAAAGAAAATGGTTTTACCAGCAAACTATGATAAAAAAAAAGCTAAAAAATACAAAAAAAAACCTCTCATCATTAGATGAACTGCATGGTAAATTTCATTATGTACAAGAATAGTGTAAAGTGAAAGCTGATTTATCCCAACATTGGTGCTCATCAATTTACCATGATTGATTGATTTACCAAGATGGCACACCCTAAATCAACAACTGGTTAAACAAATGGAATAATTTCACATCAAAATCCACCAAATCTGAAAATGTTACAAACAGAGTCACTTAAAACTCAAACATTATCAGATTTAATTGGTAATGTTGCTAGAAACGTGCTTTTTCTCCTTTAGTTGTCACAACACAGTACCTTGATTCCTTAAGTGATAAAATGAGATGAGATATGATAAAATTAATCCAAATATTACAGCAGCACAGAGACAGGCGATGGTACGAAAACACATAAAGAACTATTTGAATGAAAATGGTTGAAATAACAAATTTAAGGAGGGAGATGACATAAATAAATGAATTAATGGATTAAATAAATGAATTATATAAATATTTGTACAAAAGAAGCCCAGTAGTGTAACTCTGGCAGCCATGATGTGTGAACATAATGTTATTAGGTTAATGAATGGTTAATACATTAAACTAAAATGTTTAACTGTGGATGGCCACAGCAGTTTTATATATTGTATTTTGCTGCTAGGTTGCCACTCTATTGATGGCTTCCTTTACTTTTCAATATTGGAGCTGAACAAACATTCATGATGATTTTAAATGTCTTCATAATTATTATTTACAGTATTAAGTGGATCATATTGAGATGCCTTCAGAGAGTGAAAAGCACATTCTCATATAGTGGTGAATGTTATGTTTAACAGATAATTATCATTCGGATTGAAATAGAGCCACTACAATTAAGAGATCTCATGATGTGGAGAGCGACGTCATGGATGGATTACACACTGTGAATGAGAAGAGAAGAGACCTCAGACACACAAAGTACACATAGAGCCACACCATGCACCATCCATCCTCCACAGCAATTGGCCCTCCCCCTGAAGCTTCCGCACCCAGTGCATTGTGGGATATCAGCAGATGAAGTCATCCTTGTATATTTCTTTTTCTCCCTCTCTATCTCAATGTTCATCTCTCCATTTTCTTCTCAAACTCCATCATTGTTCCCTCCTCTGTGTCACCACTGCACATTAGCAGCATCCCTGCATCTCTTCTTGCATTCCTCCACTCCTCCATCTTTCCCTGTATTCACCCTTCTCAAGGTGACTCACCACAAAGGCATCTCTCTGTCTCTCTACCGCCACCATTCACTGTAAATCACAGTATCTTGGTCAGTTTTCCTCCATGTGAGGCCTGAAGTGGCTGACCTTTGTTTCATCTCTGTCTTCTATCCTTTTAACCCCCAACCCGATCGTTGTTGCCTCCTGGAGCAACATCCCCTATCAATTGATTGGCCCAGATCAAATGGCCCCAGTTGCCTTGTCAACTGATTCCCCCCCCCCCACCTATTTCACCCGAATCCTCTCTTACTCCACCCATCCGGACAGCAAATCACAGCCTGAACACGGGAGTTTCCACTCCACTCCCCCATGCACACACACACCACCCTCCTCCTCCACTCTTTGACGCAGTAGTCAAGAGTTGTGTGCGGTTTCCCCCTCCAGCTATTTAGTGGACAGCATCACAAACCGTGACAGAGCGGCACCATTTCCACGACTCGGCCTGAATTACTCTCTACCCCCCACCCCCACCAAACACCCCCAAACCCGGATGTGGAGCAGAGGAGAAACCATTGCCTACTTCATTAGCAGAGATGGATCATGACCCTACCAAAGAAATGGAGCTAGTTAACCTACAGTTCACTTTAGCCTGATTTTAAAGACTTGATAATATAATGCAAATAAGACATGCTGCAGGAAATTATTACATTCCTTGAAGCAATATAGAGTTGTATTACCTCACTACTGACTATGTGGAGTGGATAATGCCTTATAATAATACTACAGGAATGTAACAGGGATTTATCAGTAGGAATGACATCATGGAGTCTATATTTAGTGGCTCGAACAGGATGTCCTTCATGACTTGACAGATCACTAAGGTTTTGAGAGATGAGACAGTGGAGGTGTTGGTTGTGTCTACCTTCATGGAGAGCATCTTCCATTGGGACCCATCTATCCATATTTTTAAGAGTGGGTGGGTGGGGTGGATGACCATTGCTGAGGAACCATTTTGACGCACTTGTCTGTGCCCATTTGGTACCCAGAGCTTAGCTGCATCTACATCCTTACCAAGCCGAGCACCAGTCAGTGACAGCGACAAGACACACCTTTGCATTATGTAATGTTTGATGAAAATGCACCAAATTGTTGGTGGAAGAGAGAGAAAAAAATGGATTCACAGCCGCCACCCTCTGTGGATCGTTTCCACTTCACACCCTCATACTCCACATATTTAAAATCCACGACTTTGCTTTTATCAGGAATAATTAACAACACACACACACACACACACACACACACACACACACACACACACACACACACACACACACACACACGATATACTGTATGTGATGATTAGGAGTTACTGCAGTCAGAGGAATGACAGGATATTCTGCAGTCCGGGCTGCGTTATTTTTTTTAACCACCAGCAGGTTATATATTCCAGTGAGTAACTGCGCCTTTCACCTGCATATTATTCTCAGACCATTTCATTTCTGCAGGGACTCCGTCTCATTATGCGGTCTGACTAATTGTGTATTTAGGAGCTGTGAATTTCCTCAATCCTCTGCAGCGGGTTCAGCATCTGGTGCCAGATGTTTCGTCGGTTTAATCTCGTTTTTTGGAAGCAGTAGATGCAGCAGTGCATCTCTCCGCCACTTTAAACACAAAAGCTTGTTTAAAAAAAAAAAAAAAAGCCTATTAATTTTTTCTAGTAAAAAGAAATGATGTTGGGCATACAGGGCTCCATTCTCTGATTCGGTTCAGTTCCTCGTTACATTAGGTTTGACGTTACGGCTTAAAATGAAAAAGTGTGTTTGCAGGAAACCAAACGGTCCATTTAGTGTGTTGGGTGATTAAACTGTGGAAATACACTCAATTGCTTCTCATCCAGATGCCTAAGAGTGACAGGCATCTGTATGTATATATGTATATATATGTATATATATATTTTTTGGTTGAAAGCTGAAGAGACTAAAATACCAACCGAGGACAATTACTGTAACGCGTTACCACCCTGCTACGGTTCTATCGCACCGGTCTGGAGTCTGGATGCGGCGGGTTGACTCACGAAAAATCTGGCGCATGTTCCTCAGAAGAAAAGACGGTGTCCAGCGCAACAGTCGTCCCCCTCTAATCACCCGTTAATCTCAGTCGTTATTGTGATTTGGTGTGATAAATGACAGTTAATGACAGACACCTAATGTGATGACTTTCTGAGAGAAATTACATCCGTTTGACTAGAAATGAAAATACATGCAGCAGGGCGGTTTAAACAGTAATAACTGTTACAGCTAGCTTAAACATGTCATAGGTACACCACCGTGTTCAATGTCATTCTAACATCATGCCTGTGCCTCCATACACCTTTAACCCTTTCCTCAAAGGACACACTGAACAGCCGTTAATACAAGGTTACTTTATCCAGACTGTACAGCTACCTTTGACACAGCTGACATTTTTTTCTACAACGTAATAGCGAAGTAAATCACAAGAAATTTAGCGCTTACCCCCATTTCGGCGCAGTTAGTCGGGTCTCCTCAGAAGATGAATCGCTTCTCGGCTTGATTCAACCAGAATAGCTGGCTTGAAGGCAGGGAGACGGGGCAGAAAACAGTCTCTGATAATGAGAAGGAAAAAAAATGGATCCCTTCAGTTGACAGCTATAGCGCTAATGACAAAATACAATTAACTAGCTAAGATAATATCCTAAAATATCTTTTTATCTAAGATGAACGGGCATAAGGTAAATTGACAAGGCAACGTTTCATCGAGCACCTCGGCAAAGATGCACCCCGCTCAGATGAAAGTCAATAGGGTTTATTTTTTACGGCATAAAATGTTGAGATTGTTCGCAGCCGTTGGTGATACTACACCAACCCTCTCCCTGTGAGACGCAAATGATACCGGTGGAAAGTAGACCCAGAGAGGAGGCTTCTTCTTCGGATGCTGTCTCCCTCCGCGGCTGCGCGCAGGCTGCCGCAGCACTCAGGGTTCCCTCGGTTATATTCCGCGGATGATACAAGGACCATATAAGTTCTTAATAGACCAGTACTGCGTTCATATGACAACAGAAAGATTAAACAAACAATAAAAGTAAATAAAATAAAAGCGTTCAGACGATAAATACTGATCAGAAGCAAGAACAGAAAATCACATTTCCTACTGTAGGCATATTTCAACACAGGTTGCATTAATTTTACCAGAATTATTACAAGACAAAAAAAGTGAGAACACTTGATGATCAATGTGAAATGTCTTGATAAGTTGAATCCCTGACTGAGGATAAATATTAGAAATGATGTCTGCACTATGTGTCTATTCTGTAATCTCTAAATTCCCATTAAATCCAGTGTAACCAGTACTCCAAAACTGGAATAATACTTAATCTGCGTCTGTTTATTGTTAAAACTATAAGTTTAATCATGGGGCACCTCTGCAAGAGAAAATTATCTAATGATGCAAGATCTGCCATAGTTGATATTAGGCTTTCGTTGAGCAAATTCCCTTCCAAATTTGCATTTAACTAATTTACCTGAACCACTGACAGATTGAATCAGGGGCTTTTGGGACCCATTGGAGTTTGGGGGCCTAGGAAAGTTGCCTGCAATACTGGGTCACTAATCCAGTCAAGCTTGTGCCACAAAGATGTATGCATGTAAGGGAGGAATTATTATAATGGAAGAATTTTCAGGCAGATGAAATTATGCATCTCCCTCCTGGGTTTTTGTTCAGTTGGCAGCAGCTGCTCTGACTGCGGCTTTTCTGTTGCTGTGAAAAAGACTAAAGCACAAACAAATTGCACATCTGCATCATCAGTGGCATCAGGGGGAAAAGACTTTCGCACAGTCTAGTCTGCAAATGCATTAGTATGGCAGCATTCAGCAAACAGACATGAGCAGCAGATTTTTTTTTCTTTTAGGGACTATGCTGACAATTAAGAGTAGAAAAGAAAGATGCGCAAGAGAAGAGAAGATTAGAGAACAGAGAAATAATCACAGTGAAAACATGGAGAAAAAAGGGAGGAATAGAAAGAGTGAGGCACAAAAGACAGAAGAACAGGCCTAAGCCACAATTTCACTGGCATCATGCTGGAACAAAGATGGCTTACACAGTGCTAATACAGGGAATGAAAACACCGGCCAGTGTACACAGAACAAACTGAAAACAGAGATCACATGGAAACAATGTGATGTTCTTGGTCGGTCAGAGCAAAGCTGTGGCTTCACATGCTTTATTTCTGTGTGCACCACCTGCTGTGGAAGATTAGACAATTACACTGTTGTTTTTAGAGCCTTCAAATGGAGCAGGAGGCTATGAATAGTGTGTAGCTGACATACACACATACACACACGCACCCATCCTGACTGATGTGATTCAAATGCTAACACCGAGTAAATGAATGGATGGGAGAGCATTTCATATTGCATAACACATGAACAAGCGAGACAATGATCAAGTAAGTGTGTGTGCATGTCTGGTTGTCGCTGCAAAGGCATGGGTGTGTTGCTATGCAAATGTTTGTGTTTGTGAATGCCTGTGAGACTGTGTGCAGGCTCGCTCGTATGAGTGCCTGCCTGTGTGTGTGTTTTGAGGTGGCCGCTGTGTCCAGATGGGATCAATACTCCCCTCTATTATAATTGAAGTGTGGCCTGGTTTCTGCACTGCTTTGTCATGCCTCCAGCATGCACCATCACTCATGGGTTCTTTTTCTAGCAAATTCTAAAAGTGAGCTGAAAAAAAATCTGTGTCATTACTCATACGTATGTTCAAAAAGGAATGTAAAAGAGGTGCAGCCACATGGACCACCTGTTTATTGGATGAGTGCAGTTAAATAGGAAATAATGAAAAGATATAGTAGTAGTGCAGTAGTGTATAAAATTGCACGATATTGATAGATGTTTACTAATGTGATATTTGTGTGTAATTTAAACTTTATATGTTATAGTTATATTTCCTATTCATTGTTCTCAGAGGATTGCAACAGTAAAGGTTGGTGTTCTTCAACCATTGAGATGACTTACCATTTGAAAACACATTTCGCTGTATTTTCCCTCGTAACCACCACCCATCTTTCATCTTTCCCCTTCCTCCTGTTCTTTCTTCCTCTCCATCAGTCCGAGTGTATTTTAAGGTCTGAGAGAAAAGCAGAGAAACCGGGGAGAGAGGAGAGAACAGAACAAAAACATTTCAGAAACCTGGTCACCATAGCAACAACTGTCAGGTAACCGTGGCTTCCAATCATCTAGCTGACACAAAACAAAATTGAGGAAATTGGAAACAGGATGAAGGGAAAGTGCAGACCTTAAAAGTCCTGTAATTGTCTTTGTTGAATTGTTGTTGAATTGTTGTTGATTAGGATGCAATCACCTGCAACAGACTGATTCAGATTAATGGATGTGGAATGATCCTGTGATGGAAAAAAAATGCTTTGTCACTGTTCTTACCAGAGACAAATGGGAGCGGTTTCATTTGTAATCACGAAGGATCTGAGGATTGATTTCTTAGCCGTGCTGAGTCCAGTCTGTCACACAGCAGGAGACAATCACTGCTGGTGAGAGACACATACACACACACACACACACACACACACACACACACACACACACACACACACACACACACACAGATGTTTTCTGGGCATTAACAGTTTACAAGTAGGCTAAGGGTAACATTTTAACCAGTCTGCGATGTCAGGAATCACCACACCCGGGTCCTTTACCTGCCCCCCTTGCAAAGCACCCGACCCCAATGCCTCTCCTTTTACGTGTTGGGACCACAGGGCAGCGGCTCCATGTTACTCTTTCAGACTGAGCCTGACTGGCTCCAAGAGGGGGCCACAGTTTCCCTTTTCTAGGCGAGGTACAACAGCTCAGTCAATGCCATTCCATTAGGGTTTTATGAACCACTGATAGTATGGCCACTCCCCTGGTACCAACTTGCTTTGGGAGACCCTACCAGGGGCTAAAACAGGTAGTCAGGAAGTCTCTCCACTAATGGAGTTGTATAGTTCTTTGACTCTGAAGAAGACACAGTACGTGTTGAAACGTTAGTCGTTTGTGCCTGATCATTAAACTGCTAAAATGAATCATGTGCTCCAGTATTTCATTTGGGTTCAGTCATTCAGAAGTGGCCCATTGTTCGTACTCCAGGGGCTATTGTCCCCAATAACACAGCTCCCAGGATCACTGCGACACACAAACCCTCCAACCCTCCCTCTGGCTTGTGGATCTTGGGGTCTGAAATGGAGCATGACATGGAGAGGTGCAATAATATTGCCATTGTACCAGACCACTGTAGTGAAATTTGTGGCAATTCATTCAATAGCTGAAGAGACATTTAAGTCTGGACCAACAACCCCAGTGACTAACTGGAGCTGATTCATGCTTTCTCATTACAAATAATGACATTATATTTTCTCCTAAATTAACTTCTATTTGTTATTAAAATGATTTAAGTTCATTCAGATGTGTGGATGTCCCCATACAACCACTTTCCTCTGAGCAGCTCTACTGAAGCAGCTGTGGGTTAAGTGCCTTGCTCAGGGGATCTCAGTGGTATTCACTGATGCAGTGGGGTGGGGGGTGGGGTGGGGTGTTACTTGCTCACTGCCCATGCCAAGACTTTCCCAGTATGTCTGGGGATTCAGGTCACAGGTTCTAACCTTTAGCTCACAGACTCTGTAAATGCCACTGTGTGAAAATCCTACTTATAGGTCTAATAGCTCTGGTGTTGGATCACCAGTCAGTAATTTTAGTTTAATAAAAATTCAGTCACCAAGAGAAAAACAAAACCCTTTAACAAGCTCTTCAACCCACTTGACATGTAAATGTTCACTGTAATGCTCCACAGATCTAAAATTGACACTATATGCTTGTCTTTACATTGAATATTAAAAATTTAAATGTGAAAAATTGACTCTGAACTGAGCTTACAAAGAACAATACGATGTATGTGAAGATGACATATTGTAACATTTTATAACATTTGTAAGAATATAAATACATATTCACAACTGAAGTTTCGCGATTTACCACTGTTGACAATAACCATGATATTTAAAAATTTAGACATTGACATTGTTAATAATACAAATATGATAATATTGTGATGACAGATGGTAGGCCTTGTGGATCATTTATATCAATTAATCTAGTTTCCTTTTCACTGATAAATTGATCTTTTTGTACGCTTTTGTACTGTTGTGGTTACAGACTCTCTCTCCACCTCTCTACACTTGTATTTGTGTCTAATTAATTTGAAAAAAGAGACAAAAACATAAACAACTAATAACATCTTTTTTTCTTTTTCAAAATTTCTATAGATATGTCATTAATAATGTTATCATGAATTCTTTTGGCCTAAAAAATCTGATATTGTGACAGCCCAAATTCGCAAATTAAGTAATTTAAATGATTAAGTAGTTTTAAAAAAGCACCCTGTTAGTACTGTTAGTACACTATATGCTTGAAAACATAATTGAGAAAACCATAAAAATGGCATGGGAATTTGGTCATTAATATACAACTGTCACCATGCACAGTTACTTCTACTACTACAAATACAGACACAGAATTTGAATAGGAAAATAACATTTAATAATAAAACAAAGATAATACAAATCATACACCACTTGTACAATGAAATGTGGGGAGAAAGTGAGAATCCTATTCCTAACCATCACAGTAATGGTACTTTTGTTTTTGTCAAAGGAGGCAAAACCAAGTACCAAGTGTGTGTGTGTGTGTGTGTGTGTGTGTATCAATGAGATAAAGTACCTGGAAATGGGCAGGATGCCATGCATGCTCTGATGAACATCATCACTGCATCACTGAGCACAGACATGCCCTGCAGATATAGACATGGAACACACACACCTGAGAGATAAATGAGC